CGGAGTACACCTTGTTTGGAAGAATTGATAAAGCAATGAATCCGGCCTATGCTCTCCATACAACCTTCGCTTTGAATCAACGACCATCCTGTATTCCGAGAAGAAGTGATGCGCAAGAACGGGAGGCTTTCTCGGTCTCAGGGATTAGGGAGAACTCCTACAGAACCAAGAACTACCCACAAGGCCTCTTTGGCCATGGGGCAGACCATTAAGTCAGTAATGCCATGAACTCCTTCTGCACAGCTTGTTGAAGTCCAGGGGTGCTTTAGTAAGTCTTGGTCTGTGCTTAAACTGAGATTCAGCCGGACGTGTAATATTCTATCTACTGATCCCCACATTCCATTGGGAAAGCAGCACGTGGTAAGGAGGTACAGTAAAATGTTCAGACACACCATGACAAACTCTATAAGCTCAGAGGTTGCCTCTGCATTCATGGGGTTGTCTCTTATAAGGCGTTTGTAACTCAATAAACAAACAAAGCTCTGGGCTGAGTAGGATCCGCGCCCAAACCACTTAAAGAGCAAAGACAAGCGCTGATTGGCTACTTGTGGTGTTATTGATTGTCGACAGTGTCCACCCGCAGCGGGTAGGCGCAAACCATCAGGGCACCCTTGCACCTCCCTGAACCGACCGACCGCTTTCCAGACTGTCTTCTCCTCGCTCCTCTCCTCTTCTTCATCAGTACGCTGCCATCTTCTTTTCGCCAGATTCAATCTGTTGCCTCAAAACCGGCTATCAGGAGTCGTCTTCTCTTCTCCCCTCAAATCTGCGTTGAACCATCATCATGCGAGGCGAGGTATGCCCCTCTGGTTTATTTACCTCTTCTCCCCCGCACGTTCGCCCGTCCTGAACCACAACTTGGGATGGTCGGATCCGTGTCAACGTCCAAAACATCGACCACGGGCTTCTTTACTACATGAAGATTCTGACGTATCTTATCGCGGTATTCTAGGTTTGCCATATCCATATTGGCCAGGCTGGTACTCAGCTCGGTAACAGTGCCTGGGAACTGTGAGGACTCACCGCTTTTTGTTCTGCTGACACTATCGCTTTTGATGGTCTTTGGATGCAATTGCTTGGGCTAATAGCCTTGCTTGCCGTGCAGGTACCTCCTAGAGCATGGTCTCAAGGCTGACGGTCGTCTTGATCCCGAGGTGCCTGAATCGCACAACAACGGAGGCTCTTTTGAAACCTTCTTCACCGAGACGAACAGCGGCAAATACGTACCTCGCTCTATCTTCGTTGATCTTGATCCATCGGTGCGCCACAACTTAGATCTGAGCCCAGGGTCAGATGGAAGAAGAACATCTACGCTGACTGTAGTAGCCTATTGACGAGATCCGCACTGGCACTTACCGCCAGCTCTTCCACCCCGAACTCTTGATCAGCGGAAAGGAAGATGCCGCCAATAACTGTGAGCCGAAGGTTGTCTTCGCAGGAAGAGTAAGGGCTAATACATGGCAGATGCTCGCGGTCATTATACCGTTGGCAAGGAGCTCGTTGATAGCGTTGTTGATCGAGTTCGTCGCGTTGCCGGTAGGCCCCATCGCACGCCGCTAACCGGACTGRATTTCTCATTAACTTTGAGCAGACAACTGCAACTCGTTGCAGGGGTTCTTGATCTTCCACTCCTTTGGCGGTGGTACCGGTTCTGGCTTTGGTGCACTGCTCCTGGAGCGTCTTTCGGCCGAATATGGCAAGAAATCCAAGCTGGAGTTCTCCATCTACCCCTCCCCCCGCGTGTCGACTGCCGTCGTTGAGCCCTACAATGCCGTCTTGTCCACCCACAGCACTATTGAGAACTCGGACTGCACCTTTTTGGTTGACAACGAAGCTGTCTACGATATCTGCCGTCGCAACTTGGACATTCCCCGCCCGGGTTACGACCACTTGAACCGCCTGATCGCCCAGGTGGTTAGCTCTATCACCTCGAGTCTCCGATTCGACGGCGCACTCAATGTCGACTTGACCGAGTTCCAGACAAATCTGGTGCCCTTCCCTCGTATCCACTATCCCTTGATCTCTTACGCGCCCGTGGTCTCGAGTAACCGCAGTTCCCACGAGAGCTTCAAGGTGCAGGATCTTACCTTCCAGTGTATGTGCATCATGTCGTTTTCTTCTCTTCACTGGAAGTCTTGGACAAATCACCATACTGACTTATGCTGCAGGCTTTGAGCCCAACAACCAGATGGTCGTCTGCGATCCTCGCAATGGCAAGTACATGGCCGTTGCCCTTCTGTACCGTGGTGATGTCGTTCCCCGCGACTGCACTCAAGCTGTTGCAGCCCTCAAAGCAAAGGCTTCCTTCAACCTAGTCGAATGGTGCCCCACCGGCTTCAAGCTCGGTATCAACTACCAGAAGCCAGTGCGTGTTCCCGGCAGCGAGTTGGCTCCCGTCGACCGCTCTGTCAGCATGCTTTCCAATACCACTTCTATTGCCGAGGCGTGGGGCCGTCTCGACCACAAGTTCGACCTCATGTACTCGAAGCGTGCCTTTGTGCACTGGTATGTGGGTGAAGGTATGGAGGAGGGCGAGTTCTCCGAGGCTCGTGAGGACCTGGCTGCACTGGAGAAGGACTATGAGGAGGTGGCCAATGATGGTATGGAGCCTGAGGAAGAAGGGGTCGAGTACTAATCGTCCTTTCTTGCTTTGTCCGCTCGCCATCATCTGATGAATCCGCTTCATGCTTCATGTATCTCTTTTCCTCCTGCCAAGCCCTGACTGTATTCCATCCTTTCGCTTGCGACAACCCCTTTTGTTAGTGCTTTTTCTAGCGTTGATCGTCAGTCTTTGAACTTTTTCCTGTAAAAAAGAGAAATAGGCAGATATTGCGAAGTTTTAGAAGTAATCCAGTATGCCACATTTTTGTCTATGTTCGTGAGGACGGTACAGGCTCAAACAAGAACTATTGTACAAATAGATAATATTACAGATGGGTTGTTACATAAAGTCATTCAGCCACGTTGAAGTCGCGGAGGAGTTTTAAAGATCGCTCGTAAGTCCACATGGTGATGGCGCTTGCTGGTGCGGCCTTAATCAAACTCACCGTCAGGCCCCGGTAGAGGCCCCGGACTCCCTGGGTGCGCACTATCATAGCGATGGTGCTAGATACGCCGCGGTATTCGGGGATATTGCGATGCACATACAGTGTGCGTGTGGGGCCCTGGACCTGGAGTCGCTTTCGCACGAGGTCAAGCGGAAACACCCCAGTCTTGGCCAGAACACTGGCAATGACTCCCGCAGCGGCATCACCGGACCCGAACGGCATGTTCTCCAGACCGGACAGCACCGGCCGCAACGATTCATAGGTCGCAAAAAACAGCCCCATGTACGGGACGATCTGAACAACCGCCGCACTGCAGCCCCGGAAGAAACCCGCCGGCCCTTCATTCCGCGCAATGTCCTGCACCGACCCCAGCAGCGAGGTATAGATGCGCTCGGTGCCCTGGGCTGCGAAGCGCGTTCGCAGCAGGTCAAGTGGGTACGTCGACGCCGTAGCTAGGCCGCCGGCTACAGCGCCCGAGACGAAGGATTCCAGCGAGGGTGGGAGACGGTGCGGGTCGAGTTGTGCGAGGAGTTGGGTTGTAGTGCGGTAGGCTGTGAACTGCAGGGCGCCGTAGCAGACGTACATGAGTTCTGCGGGGATGTTGCCTTTCCAGAGGCCCTGTTGTCAAGATCCATTAGCTTGCTTTCTTACGGTTGGACGGCGAGGATAGGGCGGAGCGTAGGGAAAGCGCACTGTTATCCCCTCTTGCTTGAGGATCGCCCTCATGGTGGAGAGGGTCCCCTTGTATATTGGACCGACTACATCGCGGTGGGAGGCCGGGTCGGAGAGGGAGTGGATTTGGAGCTGGAGGCGGATCTTAACGACGTCGAGAGGGGCGATGCAGAATCTGTTTAACAAGGGGTAGTGGATTAGCTGCTGCGATTTCGATTCAGGGCTGTAGAGCAGAGAGGCTGGACTCACCGCGAGACCAGCCCGGCGATTCCACCTGAGAGAACGACTTGACGTCGCGTGCCCTTTTCTCGTGTCAGTACTTGGATCGAAGGCTCGAACGGTCGATTTTAAAGAGACTGCGGGACTTTGAGGCTGGACGTACCTCATCCTTGAGGTGTTCGCCCCCTGCCGACATGCATGTGATATGTGAGGCAATGTGCTTGGGGGTCGGCTAGGCTGGACTGTCGGCGTCGGGGGTTCTCGGGGATTGTCAGCGCAGACTTGGTGACCCAGACGCTTTTATGAGATGAGATGGATGACCTGAGCGGCGACTTTGTAGTGTTGCAGCAATGGATAAGAAGATTTTTAGGATGGATTAAAAGGCTTGCGCTCCGCTGATAAACTGTGGATAAATCAGGATCTGGGGAGATGGAGACAGGATGATTCTTGTTGGGTAAACAATACGTAAAGGGAACGCTACCTACGGGTCATTTCCGTTACTGCTGCTATGCTAGATACTGTTGCTACCTTTCCTCAGAGATACTGTCTGGAATTCTGGAATGCTTCGATTGTCAAGACAGACATTCTTGCTCAATGCGTCGTGCTGGGTATAATTATACCACCCATGGCAGGACTATCTACTGCGGCGTATGCAGTACGTAGTGACTGAGACAGCTGACCAGGCGGGCAGATTGAGGTGTTGACCATGGATAGCATCATGGAATCAATCTCGGTCTCAGTACTCCGTAGCAGAGCATTAGTATCGTACCATTATCATCCTTCCTGCTCCTTCAGGACATCCAGATATGACGTACTAAGCCAGCAGCGGCGCCGCCATCTGCCTGTCAAGTCTCCAAAAGTGAGGAACTCGATCGGTCTGCTAAGGCGGCAATCCACTAATCCAGATACGGTCTGTAACCTCGGCGTGGAAATTAGACAACACGCGACTCCGCGTTTGATGGATTGGATTGCATGAACATTACTCCGTATACATCAACATCCCCTCCCGTTCCTCCATCCATTGCTCAAGATCGCGGGTCATTGAAGCGCCGCTGACGCACCATGAGCCGGGTTCTAAGACCTCTCGTCCGGCTACCATGGCGGAGCATCCCTCTACGCCCGTTCCTCGCTCGAAGGAGCTATTCAACCCCATCTATGGAACAGGCACAGGAGCCAAAGACAGACTATCCTGCCCTGGACAAAGTGGTCAAAAAAATTGGTTATACTGACTATGCTCAAGAATATATGGGAAAGCCCGCTCCGGCAGGGGTCAGGCTATCGAAATCCAAACTGGCTCTCATGATTGACGGAGAGATTAAGGGATACAGGTACATGCTCCTGCGCGATGCCTGTAAATGCAACCTCTGCGTTGACGAACATTCGAAACAACGCAAGTTCCGCACTACGGACATTTCTCCCTTAATTCGTCCTCGGGACGTCAAATGGGACGGCAAGGAGCTGCAGATAAAGTGGTCGTCTGATATCGAGGGATGGGGCCCGGACCATGTGTCCAAGTATAATGAGGCAACATTTAAAGAGTCGAGGGCCAACCCTCCCAAATCGGATACGGGCAAGCTGAGGCGTCGATTTTTCTGGGACAAGAAGATGATGGAAGATATTCAGCACTGGGTCTCGTACGAGGATTACATGAACGACGAAAAAGCATTCATGAAGGCTATGCGGCTTCTATCTCTGACGGGCATCATCTTCGTTAAGGATATCCCCGACTCGCGGGAAATGGTTGAGAAGATTGCAACCCGGATGGGGCCCCTGCGAAACACCTTCTACGGACCGACATGGGATGTCCGCAGCGTCCCCCAGGCGAAGAACGTCGCCTACACCAACGTCTCCCTCGGATTCCACATGGACCTCATGTACATGAACGAGCCCCCGGGCTTTCAGCTGCTACACTGCCTCGAGAACTCATGCGACGGGGGCGAGTCCCTCTTCGTGGACAGCTTCCGAGCTGTGGATCTAGTGCGTTATAGATCCCCCGAAGCCTTCGAAGCTCTGAGCAAGCTGCATCTGAACTACGAATACAACCACAAGGAACACGTCTACAACAACAGCTGGCCTGTATTGGAGACGGAATCCGTTGACTCGAAGAAACGAATCGTCCGCGTCAACTACTCGCCCCCCTTCCAAGCGCCCATGGTCTTGGATGACGACATCCACGCGCACTGGACTGAGTATAGGCGAGCTCTCGCGATGTTCGCAAGTATAATCGAACGCGATAACCTCGTCTTCCAGCTTAAGTTGAACCCGGGCGAATGTGTCATCTTCGAGAATCGCCGAGTCCTCCACGCCCGTAACAAGTTCAACACCGAACAGGGTAAGCGGTGGCTGGCGGGCGCCTACGTCGACGAGGATGCCGTTCTTTCCACCTTCAGAACGTCTCGTAACGCCAATGCCAATCTCTGGCATAGAACCCGTGTTCAGCCTCCGCTCAAGGCGGCCGCAGAGGGACAAGCTACCGCCGAAGATAACGGAACAGAGTAAACCAGAATTTTTCTCATATTGCGGACGCAAATTGAGCGATGTGGTTTTGAGCAAGAAGAGACATCCATCTTGAACTTGTGAATTCGCTGCTATATAAGTGTACGAACTCTGTGTACTGTAGCGGTTTATCAGACAAGATTCATCCTTCTGGTACCTGCGCATGCTGATTTCGGCGGCGCACGCATGGTCGAGGCAAAGCATATAACTGTACATGTGTAATTGTAATTCAACACGGAAAAGAACTATATTCGTCATTGCTAAATCTCAAAGTCTAACGAAGAGGGAATACATGGGAGTATAAATTGTCTTCAGGGAAATTTGTATCATGTACCAAGAGCACCCCGTCATATCTTCAAGCGGTAGCAGGAGCCTTGTTAACGGAGAACTGGCTCAGGAAATCGGGGTCGTTGTTGATCTCTTCCTTGACCTGTAGCAGAAATAGATCAGTTAGCAATGACTTTCCAGTTACGGCAGCAATGACAGAAGAACATACGATATCTAATCCACCAACGAGCTCCCCCTCAACCCACAACTGGGGAAATGTAGGCCAGTCCGCAAACTCCTTCAACCCCTGTCTGACGTCCTCATCGGCTAGAATATTGAAGAACCCGTACTTGACGCTCCTCTCCCGCAGGATCGCAACCAACTGACGACTGAACCCGCACTGCGGCGCACTAGGTGTACCCTTCATGAAGAGCATAACCGGCGCAGCCTTCACCAGCTCTGCCAACCGTGCAAACAGAGCCTCCTTGGACTGCTCGGGCGTCAATGCTTGGGTCGAGGGAGCGGGCGGTTGCGTAGCAGCCGCAGGGGCGTTCTCGCGAGGCGTAGCCGTCAACGGCGGGGGGATAGCGGTCTTGTTCGCGCCGTCTGCGCCCGCGCCCGATCCAGCGCCCGCGTGCCGCTCGACAGCATCGCGCACCTTGACGGCGTCGCTGCCGCTAATGGATTCGAGGATCTGGCCGTTGCGGAGAAGGACCACATAGGGCACTGCTGTGACGTCGTACTCCTCGGAGATGTCGGGGAGTTCTTCGGCGTTGATGCTCACGAAGGAGATGGTGGGCGGGGTGGTGACGGGGTGCTGGGAGGCGAGGGCGGAGAGAACGGCGCGCATCTGGGCGCAGGGAGCTGCCCATGGCGCATGGAAGTAGAGGATTAGTAACGCCGAGGGAGGAAGAGACGAGGTGTGTGCCGAGAAGTCGGCGTCCGAGGTAATTTCGTTGAGTGTCGACATGGTGCTTAGAGAGTATATCGCGGGGCACGGTCGTGGGGTTAGATTGCGTGGTGGAGTAGGCCTTTAATGAACGTCAGGCTGATGGAAACGCAGTTACGAGACGAAGACAATCTGAAAGCCTTTGATGAAGAAAAAGAGATTCAAGGAGTAGGATGAGGACGGAAAGAAGACGCAATGTCCTCTCAAGTACACAAGGCGTTGGAAGTACGGAGGGGAAGAGTTGGGATGCACGAGACCGGAAGGCGAATTTTTGGCTTATCAGATCGGCCCAGACTTGGAGGCGTAAGGTACCATACCGTTTCTTACGCTTCTGTTTGGTTCAGTTACCCGGGAGAAACCCTGCGAGCCGCGGATCAACAATAATCCTGCCTGACGCCATCGCAATGAGTCAGCAAATTGTATTTTCTTCGTCCATTGACTTCGCATTTGGGAGCGAAGGATCTCAAGGCGCATTACAAATCCCAATCAATGTTGAGCAGTACAGACCTTAGCTTGACTTGACGGTCTCTTTCGAAGCAGGGACGTTTGGTCAGTAAGCAGCTCAATAGGACTATCAGCACGTGACACGGTACTCAAATTACTTTACCATCTGGGATTCTTATCATCACGTGGTCTCAAAAAGTCCATCCAATCCCTTCTGCTGCGCATTTTCGACAAACAACCAGCGAGGAGGTTTCAAAAAACCGCTTTATACCGAGTTTGGTTTGTAATCTAAGAGCGACTTTTCACAGAGAACGACGGATGTCGTATATCATAAGTGGTTGCAACTTACCTAGTCACTAAATATCTGCCCTTGTTGGCCACCACTGGTCCAGATATGGCTGGAGCAAACAAGCGCAAGCGCAGAGAAGCCGAATGCTCAGACGATGAGGATCCAGTCGGACATCCTTCCGATAATACGAATGGCTTTGGAGTAGCCCAAACTCTATCACTTCTTAATGGTGCGAAGCCACAAGCGGCAGACGACAGCGGGATAACTACTGCAAGTTCTCATGCGACACCTACAGAAGAAACCCATGATCAGACGAAAGATGCCGTATCTGTGCAAAGACCCACGAAAAAGAAGAGAGTTGACGGCGAAAAGACGAAATATCCTGTGCTTACCTATGTGGAAGGTCGACTGCAATCTTCCATCCGCATCGCGGATCTCCAAAATCTATTACTTTACTGTTTCGCGGACGGCATCGCGCCTCAGTGGATCTCCATCAAGCACTCGGGCCATATTAGAAAAATTGTTGTGCTGATGGTTCCCGGTTTGGAAATGGGAATGTTTGACGGGACCCTTCCATTGAAACCTCAACCTGAAGATCAGGATGCTCCATCAACTCAAGCTCCCGACGCAGGGCAGAAAGACTCCGATGCTAACAAGACGGCTGAAGAGGATGACAGCAAGGCCAACTTCCTTCGCTGGAAACAGGGTCTTCCGCTGGAAGATCGATCGCACCGATTCAACCCCCGTCCTTTAACACGAGACAATCTTCCGGAACCATTACAACCACTAGCGGACATATTCCCACACATCTGGCCCATCAGGGCCCCTGGAGACTCAAAGTACAACAAGGTTCATTCTCCCCTCCAAGCCATCCTACTCTCTTCTCTGCCGAAGAACAAAGACAGTGGGGGCAAGGGCCCCAAACCGCCTAAGGTAGACAAAAGCTACGTCCCTAAGCGTACACCTATCACAGCATTCATTAGCAGTGTTGATGATCTGCGTGAAAATGATTACGTCCTTCATCCAGCCCTCTTGCCAACTGAAAAAGAGAAGTTGGCGTTGGCGGAAAATCGCAAAAGAGCTGGCCAGTCCTCCGAGGATGGCTGGGTCGATACACATGTCCCGAGCTTGGAAGCGGGAGAAGTTCCTGAGCATGAGATTCAACAGGGCAGTGTAACAGCCGGTCGCGATATACTGGCGTTAGATTGTGAGATGTGCATCACAGAAGGTGGTAAATCAGAACTTACACGCATCAGCTTGGTACGGTGGGATGGTGAAGTGGTGTTGGATGAGCTTGTGAAGCCACAGTTGCCCATCATCGACTACCTGACCCGCTTTTCCGGAATTACGAAAGAGAAATTGGATTCTGTCACGACCACCCTCGCCGACATTCAGCAAAAGCTACTCACTATTCTCACTCCGCACACGGTGCTGGTGGGCCACTCGCTCAATTCCGACCTGAATGCTCTCAAGCTAACGCACCCCTTCATCGTTGACACCGCCATCGTCTATCCGCACCCTCGCGGACCACCACTCAAATGCAGCTTGAAATGGCTCACTCAGAAATATCTGGGGAAGGAAATCCAAAAGGGCCAAACTGGCCATGACTCCGTGGAGGACGCCCGTGCCGTGCTGGAGCTGGTGAAGCAAAAATGCGAAAAGGGTGAGCGATGGGGCACAAGCGATGCCTCGAACGAAAGCATCTTCCGGCGCCTTGGCCGTTCCCCGCGCCCAGGGAAAGCAACCACCTCTGGCGAAGGCCGTACAGGAGCCGTGGTAGACTGGGGCAACCCCGAGCGCGGATTCGGGTCGCAGGCGACCGTCGCGATCGGGTGCCAGAATGACGACGAAGTCGTCCAAGGCGTCTCCACCGTCGTGAAAGGCGATCCCAGCAACCCATCTATTCCAGGCGGCGGAGTGGATTTCACCTGGGCCCGAATGCGAGAACTCGAGGTTCTCCGCGGGTGGTGCAATCGTCTACCCGACCCGAACAACGCCAACGAGTCGACGACGTTGGTGCCTCCTCCGGAAGACACCACACCGACGGGCTCGGGTACAGTCGAGCCTACTGCTGCTGCTCGGAAATCCCTGGCAGATACAGTAGCCCGCACAGTCGCTAACATCCAACGCATCTACGACTCCCTTCCACCTTGTACCCTATTCATGGTATATTCGGGCACCGGGGACCCACGAGAAGTCAGCCGTTTACAAGCCATGCACAAAACTTTCCGGGAGGAGTTCAACTCGCGCAAACCGTGGGATGAGTTGACTGTTAAATGGACGGATGCGGAGGAACAGGCGTTGAAGAAGGCCTGCGAAAGGGCCAGGGAGGGCTGTGGGTTTATGTGTGTCAAATAGAGAACTCTCTCATGGAGGTTTGTTTGTGTGTTGCATATTTTGGCCTTCCTTGTTGTGTAAATGTCGGCTATCGTTGGTTTATTGAATGATGGAAGTCAGGATACCCAGACACTTGGTTGAGGTTGATGAAAGATAGATGATTTACATGACTTGACCATTTCTGCATTTGCCAAAACTTTACAATAATAGGCATAGAAACGGCTTGTTCATCATTCTTCGTCTTGAATAGTTTCTAGAAATACATGATATGAACTGCACCCTGCATTGTCATCGGCTCTCTTCAGTCTCCATTGCTTCCTCGCGTTGCATTGCTAAGCGCGCCATCAAATCCCGCGCTGCTATCTGCGCCTTTCGTTTCTCGTCATCATTGTTAATGCCTGAAGGCTTGAGCGGTGTTGAAGTCGGCAGATTCTCCTTCGTGGAGTCAATCTCATGATTCTGTGGCTGACTGCCTGCTTCTTTGTTTGAGTGTTGGGATATTTCCCCCGTAGTCATTGGCAGAGTCCCTTCTAATGCATTCTGATCCACGTTCGTCGATTGGGAGACTCCGTTGCCAGATTGACGCGCTGAAGGGGGCCGCGATTGACGGCGCAAGGTTCGCGAACGAGTAGAGCCCCGTTGCCTAGCCTCCAGTGCTTCGCTAGGGCTCGTGTTTGATTGTATTTGTTCATTTTGACTACCTGTGCCGACGTTGCC